GGATGATAATAAGGCTAAGCATCAAATAAATGGAACTGACAAAAGCCCAGAATTTCACCACCCAAATCATTATTCCCCAGTTTCATCAAAGTCAAAAGGCATCCAAAGTTCAGTGCTTCACAGACTGAAATCTCAGCTTTGGGGATTTTTATTGTTTTATTGTGCATATCAATCGTGTCATTTGGTAGTTGGTACCAGTATTATATATATAACCTCCACCATCTCACCTTTATAATCTCTACATTCATGAATGGACCAAGATGGGACAAACCCAGACGTTGGTTACCTTTAAAATTTTAAAATTATTATATATTTTAAATATTTTTTTATAAAATTTATTTTTATCTCTTCTAAAATTTTGTAAATTTAAGTGAATCCTCTAAAATTTTGCAGGGTAAATAACAAATTTCATCACTACGTTTTACTTCTCTCTTATTGTATTTACTGAACTTTAAAAGTTTCTAATTTTTTCATTGAATTTAATATAGAGTTTGTTTTGTCATTCCGCCGTCAAATAGCTAACGGCATTTTAAAAAACAAAATTTTCACTAAAAATATATCATTTTGTATCTATATAAAAGCTTATTTATAACACCGTTAGTGAGTAAACGATTGAGTGACCAAAAAATACAATGTATTAAGTTCAGTTAGGAAATTGAAAAGATTTAAAGTACATTGAGTGAAATGGGAGACAAAGTAAAGTTTAGTTATCAAATTTGTAACTTACCCAATTTTATAAACATAAAATTTTATATCCATCTATGACTGTGTGCATCAGATGTCATGGACTTCACTTTGGAATAAAAGTATTATACAAATTGTTTAATTTCTTTTAAATTAATACTTGAATTTGTATAAAAATTTTGAATTTTATAGATTTTTAGATTAATATATGATATTAATATGACATTTCAATAATCAATCAAATTGTATGATGTTTTCAATTTAATTGAATAATATTATGTTAATTTGGGTACTAAATTTAAAAAGTTTTAAATTTATTTATCAATTTAGGAAAGTTACAAAGTTTAAGTATCTATTTATATAACAAGGGGGGGGGGGGGACATAGGTCCATAGGTTCCTACAATCATATGGGGATTAACCTTATCAATTCCCTTTGTGTTTATTCACCATATTGATCAGCTTCAGTCATGGCTTGTCCCCCCACTGCCTCAATAACACGCGTGCGCCCCCAGATAAGGTCACATTTTTATCATTCTTCGTCTCCTACCCTGCCCACTAATACTATTAGTGATTTGTAAATAATGTATACATTTTACTCGAGCTTGATGATTTTTATATGATACAAATTATTTAAATTATTTTTTAGTTTAAGATTTTAAATCCAAGCTGTGTTAGATTTTTTTAAAATGGTGAATGAGGTGAGATGAAATTCAAATTTAGGGTGAGATCGAATACGAATAGATATGTTTAATTTTGAGTATGGGGTAAAAAATTCGACCAGGTTTGACCTATGAAAATCTTTTTGACTAAGTTAAGATGATTTATAAAGTAGTATATGTTATAAATACTCTCAATCATGTGACAATGAACACTCAATCACTCCTGTTACGATCGTTAGTGTTCGAACCCGAGACCTATTATTCGATTTTTTTAACGTGTCATGGAACAAATGGAAAACCATACAAGATCAATCAACTCACATTGTAAAAGATAAAACATTATTTTATCTTTATGCATGAAATCTCACCAATATCTACAAACCACAAAAGCTCTTATCCATCAATTATTGATTCTTACTTTTGTATACTATTCTTTTCTGGACTACTTTTCAATCTTTTCATAGCCTTGACCCCCCCCCCCCAAAAGAAAGCCCTAACTACCAGGGACAAATTCCAGGTCCGATCATTATGTATTTCCTCAAATAAAGGTTTTAGGTATAGCAGTTCAACAGGATGGGGGTGGGTTTTCCTTATCTTACTCTTGTCCATTATTTATACATCTATCTTACAATTATGTAGGATAGTTAGATGAGAGAAGATACAAAGAGTTAATATCATCATTTGATTTATCCTCGTCGAACAAATCTAAAAGTGCATAATATTAAAAGTATTGCACTAGATGTAAGTGGATATCCTAACCTATTAAATTTTTCAGGCAGTTTAAAATTAATTGATTAAGATACATACCAGGGGCGGATGTACATGGCTCCATAGGCGAGCCATTGCACACCCATTATTTTGAGAAAAAAATGTTAAATTTAGAGATTGTTTGTTTGGCTCTGAATGGAACCATTCAACGCTAAATGCTGAATTTTTCAGCATACAACGTGTTTGTTTCTCACCTCTGAATGATTCAGTGCTGAATGATTCAACATCAAAGTACATTCTGAATGATTCAGAGCCATTATCAAACAACATGTCACATTCAGAGCTAATTCATACAGAGCCTCTGAATCATTCAGCATTTGAATCATTCAGCGCTTAATCATTCTGAAGTAAACAAACAACCCCTTAGTTTAGTTTACTCATGGGAATAGGAAAAAAATAAGAAAATTTGCACACCCAAATTTATTTAGAATCGATTATTAAAATTTTGAACCCCCATTTTTCAATTTCTAAATCCGGCACTGATACATACTAATATGAATATTAGAAAGGTCAAATAACTTAAACGATATAGTATAGTAAAAATCTAAATCATAACAAAAATGTCCTCTTTAAGATCTTATAACCCCCAAATTATAATCATCATTTCTTATCATTTGTAATTTATCTCATCTAATAACAATTTTTTTTTATTTCAAATATTTCTTAACATTATTATAAATCCATCTTTTAAACTAAACTTTCAACTCCAATCAATTACTCTCTAACACAAAATATAACACTTTGAATACCCCTATTATAAAAAATGGCAAAAGGTTAACTTTTGTCACTGTAGTAGATTCAATTTATCATTTTCGTATCTATCGTATTTTTGCATCAATTTAGCCCTCGAAGTTACTCAGTTGAATCATTCTATACTCTATCCCTAATTTAAAACCCTAAACCCTAATTTAAAACCCTAAACCCTAAACCCTAAAACCATAAACACTATCTTAAGATTTATAATTTAGGGTTTTAAGTTAGGGAAATGATATTGCATAGTGCAATTAAATAACTTTGATGGCTAAATTGATGAGAAAATACAATATGGGTGAAAATGATAAATTATGTATACTACAGGGGTAAAGGTGACCCTTAATCTTACTTTATATATATAAAAAATCATTCAAAATCTTTAATTTGAAAATCTTAAAACTTCAAGCTGATGAGTAAATTAAAAACTAAAATTGATAAAATTAAGAAATATGTGCCTTGTAAATGGCGTCTTCATTCTTTTATGACCCATATATTATGTAACGAGAAAACACACTATATAAAACATTTTTTACGAAGCGTATCTTTAATTTACGTGGCAAAATTATTACTTTTTACAAAATAATTAATATTTTTATAAAATAATTTTTAAAGGTTTGTAATCACAATTAAAAAAATGAAATATTTAAATAATAAAGCCGCAAGAACATTTTGGATTTACAAACTCCAAAATCTTTTAGTCTTAGGAATCAATCAAAGAAATGAATTGTTGAACGTGGTCAAAATTAGCTGCACTGAGTTATATTTTTAATTACTTAGCGAGCTTATATTTTATTTATTGGGTATTTTTGTCATATACAGTAGAAGAAATAAATAAAAATGAATCAAAGAGATGATTGTCGTCTTTCTGAAAATTTTAGTTTTTTTAATATTTTTATTAATACTTTTTTAAATATTTTTTAAATTTATTTATATTTAAAATTTTATAAATTTATCTTTTAACATAAAATTATTCGTTCGTACCTATAAATAAAAACCAAATAGAAAAGATAGGAGTGGTTTTGGTTGTACAGTGTTCCAAGTCATTGATACAAAATTGTCTAACATGCTTCACAACTAGGATGGATCGAGAGGGTGCAGGTTCGTGGTCGTATCTCGTAAATTTTTTAGATTTTTAATTTTTTTATTAATTATTTAATTTCATACCTATTAAAATTTTATAATTTATATCTTTAAAAATTTAATATAATTTTTTGAGTTTGTATTTTTTAGATAAGTTTTTGTATCTGTGTCTGTTTCACAATATGCCGCCTACCCCTGCTGAGAGAAAACCCCATGATTCCACGTTTAGTTAGCTGTGTAATTTCTCCTATAATATATTTTGTTCAGTCAACCACGTTTCTCCTAAAGTGAATCTAAAAAAATAAATAAATAAATGATATGTGACGGCTTTAACGTTTTTATTCAAGTCGAAGCTCAATTTCGGATCCACCTGAAAGACGGTTACGACAATGTCTACTAATTATTCAGTGAAACATTAATTTTTTTATCATGCCTAATTAATGCTTAATCCTCTTTTAAAGACTTATTTTATGGGAAAAAATGAAAATGGAAGGAATCATTGTGCATAAGAAACTCCTTGGCTTCAATTTTCAAACATCTTTTCTCCTTCTTTCTAGGCTTTATTTCTCTTTTAGTTACTTCTACATTATGTAATTGCTAATGGATTTATATAACTTTCATTCAAACTTGCATGTGTGCAAGGACTAAATTGCTCTTTTAAGGTCCAAATACGAGGCTATACAGTTGCAGCGAGGACCCACTTTGTACTTAATTTAAACCATCATTAACTCTCTGATTTGGTCCCCTTTTTTTAAATAAAAGAAAATCAAGTACTTTGAATGTTCCAATTTCAAGTCTTTCACTATTGGTGTTTTATATGATGTACAGTTGAAGGGTCCATCTGGGGCACTGTTCTTCTAGCTGCAAATCGCCACCTTTGCAACCCTATAATTCATAGGCTTATTGTACAATTTGATGCCCCAATGAACATATCACATGGTATATGCTTTCTTTTTTCTAGTTCGAACATTGTTTTAGACCCTTTGAAAAGAGCCTATAAATTTGAGTTTTCCACTTTCGAAATTCCCATAATAACAGTAGCTTTGAGCCTTTTGGGAAAAAACCCAGAAATCAGAGACAAAATACAAGAGCAGCTATGGCTAATATCAACAGGAACAACATGTCCAGTCCTATGGAAGAGGACAGTGAACTTAGGAGAGGGCCGTGGACCCTTGAAGAGGACACTCTACTAACCCATTACATTGCTCGTCACGGTGAAGGTCGTTGGAATATGTTGGCCAAATGTGCAGGTACCTAAACTAACATCCCTCAATTCATATGTAAATGAATCGTATTTATATGTTCTATTGATAATCTGTTTTCGCTCCTAAATTTTTATACGTTTGTCCCGGATTTGGTTCTCCTACAGGTCTCAAGAGAACTGGCAAAAGTTGCAGACTAAGGTGGCTGAATTATCTAAAACCAGACATTAAGCGAGGAAACCTGACACCCCAAGAGCAGCTATTGATTCTTGAACTTCATTCCAAGTGGGGGAACAAGTATGTTTTGTCTTTCTATCTGTTGATTTTAATACATTTATGTGTTCATTAATGGTCGGATAATTGTTGTAGGTGGTCGAAAATTGCTCAACATCTGCCGGGAAGAACCGACAACGAGATCAAGAACTACTGGAGAACAAGGGTGCAAAAACAGGCACGACAACTCAACATCGAGTCCAACAGCAAGAGATTCCTCGACGCGGTTCGGTGTTTTTGGATGCCGAGATTGCTTCAAAAAGTCGAGCAGACATCATCGTCGTCGTCGACCAAAACCTCGGTTCCCTGTCAATTATCCGATCGCACAGTCCCTTCATTGCCGACATTCCCCCCTCTTGCAAACCAAACCCCAGACAGCTCGATCATCACAACCGAACAAACCATTTATCTGCCGGATTTCACGAACTTCTCCGACCAAACCGAAATCCCCCAACACCAAACAACTCCAAACATCTACAACTACAACAACCAGACACTTGAACAAAGCTATTACAACATCGAAAACAGCAGCAGCACTGCTGGTTATGAGATGGAGGGCTTGAGCTTTGCATCTATGTCAACCATGGACTCCATTGAAGGCAATTGGATGATGAGCAATGAGATGGCAGATAATTTATGGAACATGGATGACATATGGCAGTTTAGGGAGTTGGGAGAAATGGGCAACTAGTAAGGGCTATATGCCCTATTGGAATGAATACTTTGAATGACAATTCAAGGCATTATAGTTAAATACTGTTCAATATGACCCCCGTGCCATCATTTAAGGCGATTAAAGTGACATATGTTGAAATGGAGAGTTTTCTGTTCAACAGTGTACTATTATAAGTACTGTATATTGATTAAGATTACCATCTTTTCTTATTTGGTTGTTGTCATTAATATATGGTATTTTTCTACTTGGAAATCTAATTGATTGCCCCTTGACTTCAAGGGTAACTGAAAGGTAGGAGGAGAGGATATTTCAATGGTGTCTAATCAATTGAAGGAAACTATGAAGAGAGATGGCTAGCTATAATATCGCAAATGGAGTCACATCACATCCATTATTTGAATAATTAAGAGTATTTATAAATTTATATTCGTTTATAATTATTTTATGTATGATGTAATTGTTCGAATTTAGGTCTCGGAGATCAATCACATCCATTTTATTTGTATACCATAACTTAAAAGTATAACTTGCATTATAATATTTTGAACATATTTTGATTCCTAAAATAATAATTTTTGATATAGAGTCTAATCCTATAATATTTTAAAAATAATTTTATATTTCGTAAATCAAATACATCCTTAAAAGCGTCGAGATTAACATTTTTCAACACGTGCTGAGAAAATATGATGAAATGAAAGATATTTTCAACACATCTTCAACGACAATCAACATCTCAAAAAGAATTAGTGGTGGCAGAGAAAGGTTAAGCCTTGGTCGTAGGCAATAGGCAGAGGATAAAGGATGATAAAAGGAAAAGTAATAGGGGTATAAAGTAACTCGTCAAATATTATTGTTGTCTCTTGAGAGATATTTCGTAAACAAAGGTCGAGTTCGATTCGTTTATTAGAACGATACCGTTATTGTGAACGATTATTATTGTATCTTGAGAGATATACGTCCAACGTTCTTAAGTATAGAAAATGAGACGAATTTATGTTAAGAAGATTGTTCACACAGACATCGATAAATTTAGTGTGAATTACTTTATACCTTCAAAACTTATATCCTACTGCTATAACTTCTGCACAAGTTCCTTGACAACTTCAAAATGGATTTGAGCTTTAAATTAAAAGCTCAAGATAGATTTGAAACTCGCATTTAAGTCCAGTAAAATTAAGATATTCGAATTCAGTCCCATTAACTTATTTCATAAACTTAAGATAGAGCTTGTTTCATATACAATTCTCAATCAAATAAAATAGGATGGGTCATGTAGGCTACTTTTTCATCTAAAGATACGGTTCAGAGTTGCAGCCAATCGAACTCCTCCCGTGCTAACCTCCGATTATCGACCGGTGACCGCGATAAAAAATAACCATCTACAATATCGGGAAGTACAGTTTAGTTGTCTCAACAATGAAAATTTTCAGGATTCATCACTGTAAAATCAACTTTAAGTTCTACATTCAAGTACACAGATTCTTGATGGACACTTTATATGCTCAATCACATGCTGCTTTGATGCCTTCAGATGCATATCTGCCAACATACATACATGCATACATACGTACATAATTGGTTCTTATTTCATATATGATACCAAAATGCCAAACCATTGCTAAGGCTCAAGAAACATACATGTCAGGGCATGCTGTCTTGTTTAAACTACAGGTCTCCCATCTTTTGACTTGATTTGCCCATTCACTCTGTTTCACAATCATCGATAAAAAAATATAATATATACGGGTTAAATTTTTTAGTTTTACACTTTTTTTAAATCGTTTTATGCATAAAAATAGACAACTGAGATTATCTGCTTGTTACCGTGATGTTTTGTTGAATTGCATCAACCGTGGAATCTAGGCTTGTAATGAAAAACCTCTCTTCAGCTGTCTCAATTATATTGGTATCCCAGACCTGTATTATTGATCTTTGGCATTAATGTACATATTAAAAACCCTATGCACAAGTTGAAATTTAGGGTTTACATGGTGAAGAATTACCTTTCTTGTATACCAGTGGACATCAATGGTGTTGCCTCCCTTGTCTGGTGCAAACCCCACAAGCAAAGGCTGCGATAACGGAACGTCGATGTTATTTATTACGGCGAAACTCGAAATTTTCGATGGATTCGGGATTCGGGGAACATATTACCTGATGGATGTCTCCCATGAAATGAGAGAGGAAAAGAAGCGATTGCGTGAGGTTATCGGATAACGTTATCGATTTATCACAAAAATGTAAAATTTAGTCAATAAGAAAAAAATTGTAGGTATTGTGAAGTGTATACATTGAGATTCGTATAAGGCAGAGCTGTAAGTAAGAAGCTGAGATGTGTAGTTATTAATTGCACCAGCAACTCACCTCCCGACTACTCCATCTTCGTCTTTGCAGTCCCCTGAAGATCGGAATTAATATGTTTACAGGGACGGGGTCGGGACGAAACTTCTCAATCAAGTAACAAGGAGTATTGAACTTTTGTACTGGTAACTGCAGGTCTCTAAGCCTTTTATTTTAGTATTTTTCAGGCCGACTTAGATGCAAAACGTCCAAGAATGGTTCCGAAGCATCTAAGGTCACACGTTCCCGAGTTTAAGGCTCCAAGGGTGTGACAAGATGCACATGCTTAATTTAAGATATTTAATTATAGTTTAAATACAATTTTAATATTTTAAAAAAAAAATTAAAATTCATCCAACGATCTCAGTGATTAAGAAAAAAAGTTGTTCTACAGATCTTGGATTTGAACAGTTACGTTTTTAGGGAGTGTGTACGTTGTCAATAGCTAAAAAAGATTATGAACAAATATTATCTTGTAATATAAGATTATTTTACATTTATAAAACTTATAAATGTGACGAATTATTATTAACATCAGTGATTATTTGCCAATGAGCGTGTGTTGGTATAAGTGGTTGGGATTTAAGAATTTGAGTTTGTAAGACCAAGTTCGAATCCTAGCACAGGCACTCTTGATTGACAATCTGTAAATTTCTACGTAAATTCCAATTAAGTCGTAGGTATGTCTGGGGAGTTGCCCTTGATCTAAACATTATTGTAACCAAAAAAATTAATGATTATTTTTCATTTATAATAATTTATATGATTTCATTCTATATTCTACATATCAATATTTTTATCGTATAATTATTTAAATTTTTAAATAATGCTTATATAATATTTTTTCTATATTAATTTTAAAAAACAAAAATTAAAATGATTAAAATTTAAACAACAAAAAGAAAATAAATGGGCTAAAAGAGCCATAACCCAAAATACCTTAAACCATAATCTGAAATTAGAAAAATTCAAATTATTGGGTTAACTCAAGCTAAATTGGACCGCCTCGGCCCTAGTTTTAGGACTTCAATGTTATGGGTAGACTACAATCTTATTGTTTGGGTAAAATATCAAAATAATCACTTAACCTTTATGGAACTAACATGTTGGTCACTTAAAAACTTCTTTCCATTTAGTCACCAACATTAAAGAAATCTATCGTTTTGGTCATCCAAGCATTAAACCCCTAACGATGCTAACCTTTTGGTCACTAAACTTTCGGGGCACAAGCATTTTAGTAGTCTAAATTTTTCTTGGGTAAATTATGCGTTTAGTACCTAAATTATTAGTTTTATTTATTTTATTACATAAACTTTCAATTTTCTCAAAATTATATCTAAAGTTTAGTTTTATTTCATTTTAGTACCCCACAATTAAAAACTTTAGTTTTTGTTTCATTTTAATACTTGTTCAAAATTTAATGTTAAGTTTTGGAAAAAAAAATTATATACTAAAACGGATCAAAACTGACAGTTTAAGTATTAGACGCATTAAGTTTCTAACGACATAGTACTAAATGAAACAAAACTAAACTTTAGGTTGGTTTTGAAAAACAAAATGAAAGTTTAAGTACTAAAATAGACCAAAACTAATAGTTTAGATACTAAATACATAATTTACCCTATTCTTTTTTATAATTTAACCACCCAACCATCAAATTCCTTAAAAATTCTGATTTGACCTTTGATTAAATAAAAGCCACTTTGACCTTTTGTTAAGGTCCATAGGTTTGATCTTTTACAGTAGTGCTGATGCTTGATACATTTTGAGAGTTTAATTTAGATTTAGATAGTCGTGGTTCATGATTAGTGAATGTATAATTCATAAATTGATAGTCTGGGACGATTATAATGTATAGTATTTATTTAAAATCTTTTTTAATCATTGGTAATGTACATGTACCCTAAAGACAAAGCTACTCGAACTCGGAACTTCTAAGAAGAATAACATTCCCTTTAATTACAGAGGTCGATCGATAGATTCGTCTTTGATTATTTTTTTCGAGAACGAGATGATAACAAGTATATGTCATGGTTGATGTTGATGACATGGTGGTGACAAGTTCTAATACATAGGAAATAAACAACAAGACTATAGTAATTCAAGCTGTGAATCCCATCCATCATGCGAGAATCAAACCTACGGACCTTGATTTATGCTTTGTTGGAGGACAAATTTGCAGGAGAATGAAACATGGACAGTGTTAATTTAATGTAAGCAATTGCAGTTGGTGATATTTAATATATGTGTAAATTATGCATTTAGTACATAATCTATCAGTTTTGGTATATTTTAATATCTAAACTTTTCAATTTTTTCAAAACCATAGCTAAAGTTTAGTTTTTGTTTCATTTTAGTATCCCGCCGTTAAAAACTTTAGTTTTTATTTCATTCTAGTACCCCGTTCAAAATTTAACGTTAAGTTTTGAAAGGATTGAAAGTTTAGGTACTAAAACGAACCAAAACTGACGTTAAGTTTTTAACGGATGGGTACTAAAATGAAATGAAAACTAAACGTTAGACATGGTTTTGAAAATAATTAAAAGTTTAGATGCTAAAATAGAATAAAACTAATAGTTCAGGTACTAATGGGTAGTTTATCCTTAATATATTTAGTGAAGTGCTTGTGATAGAACTTCAAACATATATCTGTCAGGGAATATCATATGATTATTGAGGCAATTGAATTCATCTGCACGAGCTTTTGACATGAGCCTTGGTCAACTACCAGATCTCCATGCTTTCAGTTTCCAACTAGGATTGAATGACAATAACTTTTTAAAGGGTAAATTACATTGGTGATCTATTGTATTCTCCATCTGTCTTATTTTCATCACCAGTTTTGAAAAGGTTATGTTTTGATCACTTTTGTTTTTAATTTTTCTTATTTTGATCATTACAGTGTTAACTTCCATTAGTTTGTTGGAGTGACATGTTAGTAAAAATGGTTAAATTTTAACTTAATTCGTGAATTTTAGATATGATACTAATTTGGCCATAAATTGTATATAAAATATTAATTTAATCTTTGATCTTTAGATAAAAAGTAGTGAAAGAATACTAATTTAACAAACACCATATTCGCATTTTGGAGGTAAACAAATGAGTTGGAGATTTCATGGTTCAGTGATCGTTGACGATAGCGATCGACGGTGACGATAACCAACGGTGATGAGTAGATGTCGATGACTGGATTTAGAGGTCAAATTAATAATTTATTTATAGTTTAGGAAATAAATTATTATTCATGTAATGTTTAGGGTAAATTAGTAGTTTATCTATAATTTAGGGGTCATGTTAAACGTTAATATTTTGTTTACTAACATATCACTTCAATAAACTAACGTAAGTTAATGGTTTAGTGATTAAAATGTAATAAATTGATAATATGCATTATCAAAACATAACTTTCATAAATTATTAACCAAAATAAGATAAACCAAAAACAAAAGGGGTTGTAGTATAATTAACCCAAATTCAAAATTTTGAATTTTTTTTATTGAATCACGATCATAAAGCCGAGGGCTAATTGGTGTAAGAGTAGAATATTTTGGAAACTGCAAATGCTAACTGCATAAAATTTGACCATTCATTTCTTTAGTTTTTTTTAGGATTAATACAAAAATTACATAAATTATATTTTAAATTAATTTTTGGTGTATAAATATTTTTTTTCATTTAAAATAAGTATTTAACATTTCCTCTATTATATTTTGATTTTTTATTTTTTTAAAAGATTAAAAGAAATTAATCTCTCTCCCTCCCCTGTCGTCCCATCTCACTCTCATCTCCTCCACTTCCTACGGTGAATGGTCACCATCATTTGAATTTTGTCGGAGCAGAGTGAGGAATTTAATTGTGGTGGTCGTGTAACACACGTGAAGTTTGAAACTTTGGGTTTATAAAAAATATATATAATAATAATTTTTTTAATAAAAAAATTTAAAATTTTATATGATGACACGTATCAAAAAATGGCCAACGATATTTACGATATAGACACTTAAAAGTTACAAAATGATCCTCTAACTACAGAGCGTTACTTTGTTGAATTTATCGACTATTAAATGTTCCAAAATAGTCATCTAAATAGTTATCATATCACAATTAACAAGTTAACGTTCAGCTCAGATCGCCGTTAATTTTTTAATAGGAAATGATGAGTTTAGAACATAATGAATAGTTAAATGATCATTTTGTAACGTTTAATGGTCGATGGACTTAACACAAAAATACTCTATAATCGAATGATCATTATATAACTTTTAATAGTTGAGAGACTCATCAAAACATCATCCTATAATTGGAGAATCATTTATATATTTTATATATAAATTTATTCGTAAATATAAATAAAATGAATAGATCTTTATATTTATTTATCTATCTATTTATTAAATATAAAATATTTATATTTATTTATTTAATTTAATAAATGTAAGTAAATCACATATAATTAATAGTTTTGTTCATTATATCGATATGGCTTGAAAGTCGGTTTCCAAATCACAGGGATGTTCGCGTAGCAAGTCGGTTTGGTATTTGGTTAGTAAAAAACTGTTGACCCAAATGATATTTCTTTAAAGAATCTCTAATCCTTTGATATTTCTCGCTGCAGGAATGATATTGAGTAAAATTTTTTTGAATTATTCGAGTGGATGAGTTTTATTATTATAATTTGGAGTTGATTTAAATTTTTTTGAGTTAAATTTTTGAGTTTGTGTTTAAATTTAATTATCAATATTTATAATATTATTTCATTTTAATTTAAATGGTTTTTTATAATTATATATATATATATATATATATATATATATAATATCTATGATTTTTAATAAAAAAATACAATACATATATATTTATTTCATATGTGATATCAATATTTATAATATTATGATATTATTTTATTTTAATTTAAATGATTTTTTATGATCATATATATATATATATATATATATATATATATATATATATATATATATATATATATATATATATATATATATATATATATATATAACAATCCATTCATATGTGATTTTGATAGAAAAATAAATATATATATATATATATATATTTATTTCATATGTGATATACATATATCATATATAATTTAGGGACTCGACTTAAACTTAAAAAATCATCAACTAGTTATTTAAAATTTTTACAACTCGAGTTATTTGAGATGTATTTTACAACTCGATTTGAACTTGAAATTTTTTCGAGTCGAGTCCAATTTATAAAATTACAACTTGAAGTTATTTCGAGTTGAATTATTTCGAATCGAATCAAATTTTGCTCACCTCTAAAGCAGGCACGTCCTTCGTGATATAATTAAAAAAACAATTAGTTAATTAAAAAACAACCAGATGATCTAGTGGGATGAGGCACTAGATCCCTTAAGTAAAGTCATGGGTTCAAATTCTGATGTTTGCGAATGGAGCAAACTTGGTTGGAAGGTCACCCTCGCCTCTGTAGTATCCGATCTAAATTAGTCGATTAATAGATCGGATACGAGTAATTAATTAAAAAAAGCTCATCTAAATTTTACAAATAAATAAATGTCATCCCCAATCTCACGCCTTTTCCTTTTTTTAATTTTTTTTATTAATTAAGTAATTTATTTTCTCAGCCCCAAATTCCCACACGACTTTTCTTTTCTTTTATTTATTTATTTATTTATTATTTTTCAATTTTGTGTGATTCTCTCGCCTCTTCTATAAATTACACTAGACCTCTCTCTTCACCATCCTTCTGTGTACCCTTGCCTAAATCTATCAGCTTCATTTCTGTATTTTGATTTTCTAAAGTGTTTACGTTGCTCTATCTATACTAATTCATCCACTCCAAGAATTCCAGTGGTTCCGTACAGTTAAAAGCTAGGGTAATTTGCTTTGCCCTCGTCTCAATTAGCTCTTTGTTTATCTTTTTTGGTATAGCTATGGCCTTTTCCCTTCAAGTGTCGGCTATGAATCATGTTTTCCTTGATCTGGATCATGTCTATAGTGGAATCTAGATTTAGAATACGGATGCTTAATTTTTGTTTCTGTATCACTTTTGCTAAGCCTCGGTAGATCTGTGAAGAAATTAAATCAGCGCTCTACTTTATCTTTTTTAGGCTTCGAATTGCAATTTAATTTAATTTGTTTTGTTTTATTTTGTGCGTAGATCTGTGGATTTATAACTGCTTTTAAGTAATTTTGTGCGATTTTAATATTGAAAAAAAATATGCTGTTATATCTTGCTTTCTATTTTAGGAAGACAATTTATTAATCATGTTGCTACTGGCTGAACAGGGGAAATAATTGTTAATAATCGATAGGAAAAATCGTGAAAGTTAGATGATGAAGCAGTTTGTGATCCAAAAAAAGGCGATTGGAATCAGCCGTGAGGAGACGCGAAGCTCCATTCCGATGGCAGTTATGGTTATGGATCGGGGAGAGACTATGGTCTGCCCAAAACCACGTCGTTTGAGTCTCTTGAACACCTCCTTCAACGACCAGTCTGTTAGGCCCCTTAGATGGCAACTTAGGTAATTTTCCCGTCGTTCTGTGTCCTTCAACTTTTTATTTATATTCCCATGTAGGCTAAAGCAAAGAAATGGCAAATTGTTCTGTGTTTTTCAGTCATCAAGGGGAGTTTTGTGATTCAAATCCAGGGAGCGATGTTATGGATATGATTCTTACAAAGGTATGCTTCTCTCTGCTACTTTATTTAGATTCATAAATTATGCTGGAACTTATTTACAAGTAGGAATTATAATGGGTGAACTAGAAGAGATAGATCGTAAACTACTAAAGATCAACTCAGTCAAAGCTTGATAAATATTCGACTCGAGTTCGAGCTCGAGCTCAACATGAGTTCTTAACGAACCGAAACGTGTTACTCGAAATGTTCGCGAGCAACTCGAAAATATAATATATTAAAGTTTTATTTTTTAAAAATACATTATTGATAATATTAATATTTATGTGTTGATTTAAAAAATATAGTATATGGTTTTCATGTATATAAGGTTCGAGTTTGAGACTTCAATTAAGTTAATTCTAAGATTTTTTTTGTTTCTAGTTTTTTCGAGCTTCAATTCTTTGTTTCGAGTTTCAATCAAGTTTGAAAATTTTAGTCTCGTGAGTTTTCGAGTCAAATCGAGTTCCATTTTAGAGTTTTTGAGTCGAGTTGAACTCAACAATATTCGAGTTCGACTCGGCTCATTTACAGCCCCATACACCAATAAATCATTCGTTAAATTATACAGGAAACTAATGTTTGGTCCCATAAACAATGTCGCGGCATCTCAATGATAGAAATATGTTAACCTGGATTCCACTTGGCGAACACTAAAGAGTTACCGAAAGAATATAGTTATTGGAACTTCATGTTTTAGTACATCGTTTCTTATAAAATCCATATGGCTCTTGGTTTTGGAATATAACAGGGTGGTTGTGTAGCTGAGGAAAGTCATACACAAGTGGCGTCACCGCCCCCATTTTTTTGTTGCTCACCGCCGAGCAGAGTAACTAACCCATTAATACAGGATGCCCGATTTGGGGATGAGAAGGTCATCACCCCACTTTCATCGCAGTCTCCGATCCCACCTCCTTTGGGCTTGTCCTCGTCTCCATCATCCGGTTCAAGGAAAGGGAGCTGTGTTCGAGCAAGTTTTGGTAATAAACCCGCGGTGAGAGTCGAGGGGTTCGATTGCCTTGACAGGGATAGCCGAAATTGCAGCATCCCTGCAGTGGCTTAGAATCCATTTCAATCCCCAATAAGAGTACATCGAAAACGATGAAGAGGAGCTTAGAACCCTTCTCCGATGTAAATACTTTTGGAGGGGTTCTTTGTATGTAATGTGAACGAGTTTGTTGAACAAAATAAAGCATAGAGCCGTAGTTTAGGTGCAGAGTAAAATGTTGGGAAACCATACCGCAAGATGGAAGATGGTTTGAGGTGTGTTGATAGCCACAGTGTAGTGTCTCTGGTCGGGAAGAAATTTTCATATTCTGAGGTCCTTACGGGAAGAAATTCAATGGCTGAATCGGTTCCAATGAATGAGCGGGCCATGATGAATTCATGTTGTTGCATTGATTTCGTAATGCATATTTTATTGACATCCATATACCTATTATTTGGTTATGTATTATTTATACATATACAAATTTAAATATTTAAATTTAATTATAAAAAATAATAAAATATCTATTCTTAAAGAATACACTCTCTGATCATTTATAATTTTGATAAAATGGAACTATAATTTTTAGAGTAAACTATGCATCTTATACTCGAATTAGTTTTGATTCATTTTACTACCTTTTCTTTTAACGTTAAACCGTTTCAATTTTTTTTTTTAAATCATATTTGATATTTACTTTGTGTTTCATTTTAGTATCCTGCCGTTAAAAACTTAACGAACCGTTACAACTTGACATTTTTATGGATAATTTACATCATTCATCTCTTAACTATCTTTTCATTCCTATTTTTTGTCATTGGAGTTTATTTTTTTTTAATTTAATTGCTTAACTTTCAAACTACTCTTAATTTATTCATTCCAACTTTTAAATTTATATTTTATTTTAATCATATATTAATAAAATAATAAAAATTATCATGTCATAAAATATCATTAATAAAATAAATTAGAGTGAATACAATATGAGCAATTTGAAAGTTGAGTATTTAAATTGAAAATTTTTAAACTTCAATGACTAGAATAGGAAAGAGAAGATAGTTAAGGGATGAATGATGTAATTTACTCATGGAAAAATGTCACGTGTGTCAAAGTTATGTTAAACATTAGATATGATTTAAAAAAATTGAACTTTAGGTACTAAAACATACCAAAATTAATAATTTAAGTACTAAATAGATAGTTTACCCTAATTTTTTGAATCCAAATATTTGACACATAATTTAACATGCTAACTAAGTGCAAAACGGTCGGGAAACTTCATTGGAACGGCCATGTCTGACGGGGTACTCTGTATCTAATTGCCACCAAGTCTTAAATGACCGCACAGATTGAATCAATATTGGTAGCCTAACTAGTTGATAACATAAATTAATTCTGCAAATCCAAGTTGAGAAGTTTCCATCATTTTCTTATCTATAGAACCAAGTTAGTTCCATTTTCTTAACCGCATGTGACTTTGAATCTTAATCACGGATAAATTCAAAGAACCAGGTCCATGCAGATTATATTTAATGGCATAAATAATCACACCAATTCCCACCACCGCGTTGTCCAAAAACTTTTCATGCACACATCCCTTCACCTATATAAGTTTCCATCTTCTTCTACCCCGTTCCATTACATCGTTTCCCGTTGAAAATCGTAAGAAGGAGAAAAAAAAACACCCATGAAGAGGCAAGGGAGTCGTATGATGAAGGCCGTGGGTGGAAAGAAGAGCAAGAGAGCTGTGGAAAGCAAGGAGGAAGGGGGAGGAGTAGCGGCGGAGGTAGAGAGTTTGTTGTGGTGGGCGGCGGATGAGCAAATGCCGTGGGCTTCGGCGTGGTCGCCTCTGTGGGATGTGGATTATGTGGACAAGGCCTACGCTGCATTGTTCGGAGATGTAGCCTGGGATGATGATATTTGGAACCTCAAGAACGTCATGGTGATTCCCCACCAATGAGAGAGACACAGTTTGGCAGTCTGTTTTGCTTTCAAAGCTGTGTTTGCTGTTAAAAAAGAACTGAAAGAATTTCTTTTGTATTTCCTTTAGTCTAATTCATTTACATTCAGTGAGTCTATTTATATACAATTCAGATAACTAAAATTAGAGGACGAAACCCCCCATTTTGGACACAAGAATCATGATGTTGTGACCTTAGAGTCTTTGTTAAAATATATGCCATTTGTTCTGCTGAAGAAACAAACTCAGTGCTGATGGAACTTCCTTCAATCTTCTTTCCGATAAAGTGATAATCTATCTCAATGTGCTTTGTTCATTCATGATAAACATGATTTATTATAGAGCAGCTTTACTGTCACACTCATTCAACCAAACCAGCTCTACTGTAGTCACAGTCATGCTCATATATTCTGCTTCTGCAAACAACCTTGTCACTGTTGGTTACTTCTTTGATTTCCATGAAATCAACGAGTTCTCAAGCTTGATGCAAAAACCAGAAACCAACTTTTTTATGACAGGACAGGACACCCAATCCGAATCGCAGAAAGCTATGGAACTGTTTAACGTACCTTACAATTCTCAGTACATCATTCAAATGAGACTTCTTAGGCCGTTGCATGAATTGACTTAGGTGATGCACGTCGAAAGTTATGTCAGGTTCGATGTGCGTTAAGCAGATTGATCTTCTGATAAGCTTTTGAAAAATACTTTTATCAGACAACAACTCATCATCCACAACTGTAGTAAGCTTTACATTATGCTCTAGAGGAGCCATTGCAGGCTTTGTCATACCCAGCGATCAAAAAATCATCTACTTAAATCAACACAATTATTATCTTTTTCTTTTGTTGCCTTCTAGTTCCAAGGCTTTGCCTTGACTAATCTGGACCGACCTGACTTTGGTGGGTGAGTCTCTCAGCGGAGATTTTCTGCAACACGTAATTGTAATCTTTTTTGGTGACAATGAAATCACAAACTAAGTCTTATTCGATTCAAGAACATAGTTCTCTTCTTCCGTAATCTGAATCCAATGTGAATGCTTAACCGTCTCATTGTATGTTTTAGGTTAAAAAACCAGACATGTAGAAGAAAAAACAGTTGAGTAGAAACATATAAATGATTAGAGTAAATGTAAGTAATAATAGGATAAAGAATGGAAGATTATGAAGCACAAACAAAATTATGGAGTCATTCTATTAATATCATAATAATTATGCTTAAAGAATATTATACGGTGATGGTGCATTCTATTAATATATTAATTAGGTTTCCATTCACTCCCTTTTTTTCTCTTTTGAAAAAGTTTGTTTTTTCTGATTGGTTCATTTTTTTTCGTTTTTGTTTATTAGCGAATAACATCAATTTTAATGTTGGTTGTCGATCGTCGGTATTTCTTTATTATCTTTTTCCTTTTTTATGTCATATCTTTTTTTTTCTATTTTCAATAAATCTAGATGTACAACACGTTTTCATATACCTTTATAACATGTTTTCACATGTTTTTGTGACACGTTTTCTTTTGTCTTTTGTCATATTTTTAATTGTTTGGCCGATTTTTTTTAATGTTTTTCTAGGGTTGATTTAACATTGTCGCGATTGATCAAGATGATGCTTATATGATATCTTGTTGATCTTCCTTACTTTGGACTCTCGAAGTAGATTTGGATACCCGTTTTACATTCGTTGATAGCTTTTCACGTCACTCTAGTCTGATTTACGATTTTATTGGTGGTCTTTCAATATCTTGATCCCCTCTTTGTGGTTCGTTTGCTGATGCGATCGGATCTATTTGTATCTATTTTTGTTATAGCTTTTGTGTTAGATTTTTTATCTTTTTTTCTCACGGTCCTTATGATAATTGTTAGTTTTATTTGAATGATTATAAGAAATTATCTTAATTATGTGCTTAATTTAAAATTATGATAGTAAATTTTTATTATAATTTAAGATTTTTTTTTATTTTAAATTAAATTAGTTGCTTCCGTTAAAAAACTAACTAATGTGTGACAGTAATAATATATCAGCATCATTGGAATTTTTTATTTTAAATTATCCTATGGACTGCATCAATGATCAACCTGTTCGTGATATGTGGAAAGTTTGTGATATGTAAAAGCTTATAATTTTCTTTTCATGTAATAAAAATATTAATCATGTTCAATTATTCAGTAAAATGAAAATTATAAGAAAAATATTATTGAATTTTTAAAATTATATAGTTATAATTTTAAATAATGTGAGATAATTATAATATAATATTTATTCGAATTTTTTTAATCATAGACAATATATATATACCTTACAGTCGAACTCAAAATATTTATAAAAAATATTTCTTCTTAAAATAATTGAGGTCTTGAGTTCCATTAATAATTATTAATAAGATTCTAAAACTTTATTAAATAACGATAAATTTTAGGGTGAAGGACACATATGATCTCCGACTATAAGATATTATTTTATTAAATCTCTTAATTATTAAAAGTTATAAAATTGTCATCCAAATAGAGTGTTGCTTTGTTGAATCAATCTATTATTAAAAGTTACAAAATGATCACCTGATTATTTATGATATTCCAAACTCGTCATTTTCTGTTAAAACATTGACAATATTCTGAGCTGAATGTTAATCTGCTAACTGTTATATGATAAAATATGTTCTCATAATCATGTTAACGTCCATATCAGACAACCGTCAATTTTTTAACGGAAAATGACGTGTTTGGATCATAATGAATAGTCGAGTGACTATTTTGTAACACTTAATAGTCGATGAACTTAACAAAACAATATTATATAATCGAATATCATTTTATAACTATTAACAGTCGAATTACTTAATAAAATAGTATCTTATAATCTATGCTCATTATTGTCATACTGTCATTTAGTTAAAATATAAAGAAAAGATGCCTTCATCTAAGAACAGACATGCAGTTTTTTAAAACATAATAACACATGACATAAGTGGGAAATGATTTTAGCCCTGGAATTGGAAGTTTGATTTGATTTGATTAAGGCGAAAACTGAAGTCAAACAGACAAAATTGTTCTTTAAATCTCTGTCTGCACATGCCCTAAAGCTTGCAAAAAAAAAAAAAAAGTACTCCATACCATTACATGATAATCTTCTCACCTCAAAAAAAAAAAAAAAAAAAATATATATATATATATATACCAGTGTGAAGCTGCACTGTTAAGAGTATACATAGCCATTTCTCTCATCACGAGGGCCACTGTTGATTGCATGAACCCTTCTCCTTCTCCATCTATCTTCTTCTTCCTCTCTCTTATTACTCCTAGACGATAACCCAGGGAAAAATACAGGCAGTTGTTCTAACAGCAAGTGGGGGCATCTTTTATGTGGATATATTTTCATGGGCAAGCGGTTTTTCAGCACTATGAGGCCATTTTACACATCCATGTTGGTGTTCTTGTTGATTCTCTTGGTGTTGCAGATTTGGGTTCTCTGTGATTTCCAAGCTGGAGCTATAAGGATTCTTCCTGGAAACGATAACAAGGGTCAAAGGGACTTGTTGTTTCAGAAGTACTTCAATGGAACCGATAAAGGATTTGAAGAAAGCAAACGGAGAATTCCCAGCTGCCCAGATCCTCTACACAACTAGCAGAGAGTTGTTTCCTCTTTCTTTTCTTTTCCAGGAAATTTGTTGGATGATAACCAAAATACCCCCTTTTTTCTCATCATTTTCATGCTAGCGTGTCGATTGATATTGGTTATTCCCGAGGGAAAACGAGGGTATTTTGGTACTGTCTCTTTAATTCCTTTTGCACCAATTTGAAATGTCACTGTTGCAACTTACAAGACTGAAAAGTTAGAGCTTGTAAGCAATGAATGGAAAGGGAAAAAAAGGGGCATTTGATTCGTCTACATCCTTAAAATGAACTTGTTTGTGGAGTGACAATATATATACACAACAAAGAATCAGACTTCACACATGAGAATACAGTTAAAAGTGGGTGGAAAAGGTGAAATCTTTTTGAAAGTTTTATGGAGTTTAGTACTTTGTATAGTTTGGAAACATACACGAATCTCTGGTTGGATCTTGCAGTTAAGAAATCTTTGTCGTTTTAAGGGGAAAAAAAGAGGGTGAAGACAGCTTACAATCAAGTGCAGACAGAAGAAAAGAGAAGGTTGAAAAATCTGCTGCTTATTTCGTAGCTGCAGTGGGTTTGTTTGCTAGTGTTTGGATTTGGTATCAAATTGCACATTAATGCACGTATTTGCCTACACCATGAAAATGGAGATATAGAGCATCTATTTCCCCACTTTATAATAATAAAAATTAACTGACCCTATTCTCATATGTAATGGGGTAATATTCCCATATGTAATGGGATAAGGGGATGTAGGATAGTAGGTTGTCCCAACGCCAGGTTGAGAGCAGCTTCCGTGGGGATATTTATAGTGATTCGTAAAATTAAATACTTGGTAGTAGGCATAATTAATAGGCATAATATACATTACGTGATGGATATTTATAGTGATTCGTAAAGTTAATGTGCCTATTTGTTCTTTTTATGAACTGGGCCTCGCTCCTCAATGGGACCAACAATAATGGGTAATGGAAGAACCGCAACACGCCCAAATGCATGGGTTTTTTGGGCTCAATATGGCACCCACTTTAATTATTTGGCCCAATAGAACACCTCAAAAATTAATTTAGAATCTATGATATTTTTTACAGTCCAAGGCGAACTCATCACCTTGTTAAAAAATTATTTTTTAGATTATTATGCAAATTTAATGTTGGAAAGAAAAAATACACTAGAACTCGTCACGTCGAGGTGACGAGTTCTATTAATTTTTTTCTTTTTGCTCTCTAAAATGTGGTAGATTATGTTGAAAAGAACAATAAACTATGAACATTAGATTAGACTTTCGGAAATGCACATTAGGAAGAAAAAAAACTACAAATTTAATACATTAACATAAGGAAGTAAATCGGACTAACCTTGCGAACACAATAAACATTAAATAAAATCATTAACATAGCATTATTGATTAAGAAGTTTTAATCTTCGTAATCAATAGACTCGTCAGAGGAAAGATTAAGTTCTTCAATTCCCTATTCTTTTTGTTGTTGTCGTTCATGTACAAATTGGAATCATACTTCTGGGTCTTCATCATCTATGTTTTTTTTCTTGGTCATTTGTTTGAGTGGGTGAGATATTCGAGCTGGAAATAACA